CTTGAAGGAACTGGATGAGATGTTACGGGTAGAGGCTGATGAAGTGGTGAGGAGGAAATTGAAAGTGATGACCATATGTCAGCTAAGCAGTTGAAAGATGTGATTTACCACACTGGGAGGTTTAGAACTGGCTTCAAAGCACCCAGAGTGGGAAAAATGAACTAACTTTGTGTGTCATATTTTGAGGACCAGTGGTCTCCTTCTTTAAACATAAGTTGTTAGTAATTGAGGAGGACAGATACTTTGAATACAATTGACACTTTCTTCAGTAAAGGCAGAGGAACAAGATGCTAGCCCTCAGCCTTCCCTTCAAAGGAGAGAGAGGATGTTCATGGTGGAGAATCTGCCAGTCAGAGTTCCTCATTTTCATGGAAGGTGACTCACCTTCAAGAAGCAGTAAATCTTCTCCTCCACCTCCACTTCATACCTCCTTCTCCCTTCTCCTCCACCACCTCCACTTCAAATGCACATCATCACCCATCATCGGAGCCTTCACCACACACCTCAAAGTAAGTAAGTTTTTTCGCCATTTTTATTTGAAGTTAAAATTTTGGGTGAGCTGGAACCAATTACCCAAAACCCGGTGAGGCTGGTGGTTTCCGGTTATGAACGTTTGGGTTAACGAACGACCTTTTGGAGCGGATTGAGTTAGATTAAGGTTGTACCTCTCTAGTCCGGCAACCTCGGGACCTGACCGGTGCCGGACCATGGAAATTGCCGGACCATGGAAATTCACCCTTTTCCTGGATAGATAGTGACTTGTGCTTATGCCTGGAAGCACTAGCACCACTTTCTCTGCGTCATGGTCTCTTTGAAGACATATTGAAGGGTTAAATGTCGTATAGTAGCTTCTCAAATTTCGCGAGTTTTTAATTCTTAACGTATTTTATTGGAACACCAAAAAAATAAATAAATAAAAATTTTGACGGCGGAAACTTGAATTTCGACGGGTTTGAACGGCCCGCCAACGTGCAGACGACGTGCATAATCATGTAAACAGCGTCATTTCTCTTATGTTCAAAAGATTCATTATTGTTTATTACTGAATGTCTTTTTTATTGAATTAATGTTTATGTGTGCAAAATGAGCAATACAATTCATTAATAATACGTAGAAAATTATAACACATGAGGAAATGACACAGCATTGTTTTCGTTGATTACAAAACCAGTGACTGACTGGTTCTACATATAAAACTGAAGAAAATAAGACCTTGGTTGTAGCTGTAGTAAAATTAATATGGTTGTTTTAAGTAATGTTATTTAATGTTAATAAATGGAACAATAGAAGTAGCTAACGATAATGGTAAAGAAAAAGAGAGATCGCATATGTAGTGCGCATGCGCACACGTGAAAACATATCGTCATTACTTTACATAAGAATATGAAAGCAACACTTATTTACTGTTCATATATATTTTAATTAATGTTTCTGAATTTGTTTTTATTGAATCAATGTACGTGTGTGCAAAATTAACAATACAATTTATTAATAATACGTGGAATATTAGAGACGAGACGGCTGCCGGCATTGTTTATGTTAAAGCTTACGAAACCAGTGACTGATTGGTTCTACATATAAAACTGAAGAAAATAAGACCCTGAGTTTAGCTGTAGTAAAATTAATGTAAAAAATGAATATGGTTGCTTGAAGTACCTGTAATGTTATTTAATGTTAATAAATGGAACAATATAAGTAGCTAACCATTAATGGTAAAAAAAAAAGTGAGACTGCTCGTATGTAAGTGCGCACATGTGAAAATATATCGTCATTACTCTACATAAGAATATGAAAGCAACACTTATTTACTGCTCATATATATTGAAGGGTTAAATGTTGTACTCTGTATAGACAAGCAGAGAGAGAGAGAGAGAGCAGCCGAACTGCCGGATGTAAACAAACCTTAATTTCCCGCGGCTTTTTTTTTTTTTAAGGGGATTAGCCCACCCGGGCATAGGTCACTGACCCACATTGGGGCCTGAGGGGCAAAAATTTAATACTCCTGTAATAATAATAATAATTCAGATAAGGGAAAACAGAAAAAAAAAAGAAAAAAAAAAGCTGCCTATCTACCTATTGGACAAACTAAAATCGTTCCGGACCACAGGAGTTTCCGGACCACAGAATGCCGGACTAGAGAGGTACAACCTGTACTGTATATAATAATCATAGAGCCTTAATAAACATACTTTACTTCACAACCTTGTGAAAGTTTGACAAAGATATAAATTTAAGAAACTCAAATTAAGGCATAAACTTGAGGACCTAAGGTGAGTCTTATTATTAGCCTTATGGTTAATCCGGCTCTGCTCATGAGCCACCTACAGAAACTTCTTAGTGTCACGCATACATGCATGTAGTACAGACTGTAGAATGCAATACTACTGTATATTATTTGTGTGATTTACATTATTTGGGGATTTATTTTATACAGTAGTGTAGAACTCTAAATTATTACACCTACATATTTTTTCACTCAACTGCTGTACACAAATGTCAAGATAACTATTTTCAGAAATTTGACAGAATACTATACTTCTAAAATGAAGATGCTCACATTAACACAGCTTCATTATTTATATTTAGTATTTGTGGTGTACAGGCATGTGGTCCTGTTCTATATGTTAATTAATGAGAGAGCTTCATCACTTTTATTAGCAAAACATAGGGTCACACCCATTAAGAAAATTACCATCCCTAAAATGGATGGTCAGACTCACAAATTATATTACATTGATTGCACTATTGAGACAGTGTACTGCCATTAATTGCTCAGAACAATTATCATATATGAAGCCTCGGTACATCCCGATCAAAGACAATCTTGCTGATTTACTGACACGAAGTCAATCAGCAGATTTATTGTTCAAATCTAAGCAGTGGTGGCTAGGTCCACTGTGGTTCCCCATGCAAGATTTGTGATCATTATACTGTAGAGTGTGGTCATGGAGGGTTCTTAGGTCCCTTTTATGGTCAATAGCATCCCTGAGTCAGATGCTCAATTTCACATAGCTATAATAGCAACAAATCCTAAGTCCAAGAACCCACTAATGAATTTGGAAAGGTACAGTACATACGAACAGTTGAGAAGAGTTGCCTGTCGGGTTTTGCAGTTTTGTCGCGATGTTTATCATGCCAAATCAGGGATATAACCGAGTTCAGCTCTTCTTTGAAATCAACTGGGCTAAAATCAGTCAAATTAACTATTGTACATTCAGTACAGTCCGAATATTTCACTCAAGAATTGACCCATATGAGGGATAGTAAGGAGAGAAAACCCCAATAACTCATCACTTTTGTCAATTTTAATATTGGGAGGATGGGACTGGGATACTACAATGTCGAGGAAGATTAAAATTTGTGGATACAGAAGAGTCCAAGGTAGGTCCCGATCTAATCACTAATCCAGATGAAATGGTTAATTATCATAACGTCTGATACAATTGACCGTTTCGGCTGCATGACACCCTTCACTCAATCACCATGTTACTTGGCAACTTTGAGGTGTATTGTTAGTTATAGTTAGGTTTCAATAGGATTCAGCATTGTGGCCACCCCCAATATTTGCAACTCTTTACAATAAGTTGACTTGTTCAGTGTGGGAGTTGGCAGTAAAGACCTTGGGGGTGAATTCATCATTAATTTTTTTCTGTATGATATGTATGTTATAAATAATATTTGTTTTGTTTAGATCTTTTGTAGACACTTTTTTGATGGTGCACATTTTGTTATTTGTGAACCTTGGGTATGATATTCTTTATAGAACCATCAAATAAAACATGGTGCAGGCATCCCTCAAAATACGATCAGGATGTGTTCCTGAAAACATGATCGTGAAGTGAACAATCGTATATCGAAAACATTTTAGCATGGTGTCAATGGGGATGCGTTCCAGGAGTCAGTCAAGTGGGGTTTTTGCCCAACAAGGCCCAAAATTCATGATAATAAAGCACCTCAATGCCACATCACCACAATATTACAGTGGCGAGTGAAAAAAACAAAAACAAATTCTAAATCACAAACACTGTACAGTACTATATTTTCCTCCTTATAATATGCAATTGTCTAATATATAATTAAAGGTAATGAAAGATTTACTGGGAAGCATCATATTCAACTCATCACCACCTATAGCAACAACCACCAATATCTCCCATCAACTAGTCATGAGTTCATACAATACAATATTTTTAATAATCTTATGACAATAAAACAATAAGCATGTAATAATTTAAAAAAAGGCATAAATTAATTATATATGATGAGGTAATGAACCATTTACTGAGAAGTATATGCATCATATTCTCCTTCTCAGAGCTGATCATTTAATAATGTCTAATTTTACATCCAAGATTACACTTTTGCTGTTTCTTGATAAAAAGTGTGTTTATCAAAGCAGTAGGAGGTCTATGACTCATTACACATGTGTTATATTTGTCAAATTTATAATATTCTATTTGAAATTTTTTTATAAATATATTCTACTTTAAAAAAGTTGAATTTTCTACATCATCAAAGTATTCATTATTATATAATTATAATAATATGGATGTGTAGATTTTTTTTAATAAGAAATTGGACAAAAAAATTTCATAGCTGCAACTGTACCAAAAGTTTTGTTATTGTCTATTGCCAATGTTTTAGGTACTCATGGCTAACCCACACAAATATGGAAAATGACCATAAAATGATGATGAAAACAAACATTCACAAAGATATGCACTGCTTTATGAAGAATTGAAAGTTGTTGAATAAAATTTTCAGTAGGCAAGTTTTTATCTGCTTATGTCTTTTGAGCATACAACAGCAGAAACACTTTCCTATAGCCTCAGCTGAATGGTTCAACTCTTGGGTGCAGCTTAGAATTAAGGTAAAGAAATGTTGCATGAAAAAGTCCAAAACTCTCCCTCCAGCTTACAACTATGGATGACTTATAATTTGGTAAATTCTGTACAGTAATACCATTCTTAATCATAAATATTGTACAAATAAACACCTACCAGCTTTAAGAGGCCTAGGTACACCTCCCACAAACACTGTCTTGCGAGGATCTAACGGAAGCGAGGCATCAAGGACGAAATCTGCGTCAGAGAGTCGCCAAGGTCGGATCTGAACGGGTTTATCTTTAATAGTTGGCGACGAAACACACAGGTACAGCTTGTCATCATCTTGAATGCAGGCATCAATTAACTGTTGCACACTACTCTCATCCTGCAATAAAAATATTATCAATCAGTTTAAGAAAAACACACAAAGCAAGGCAAGCAAATCTTAAGATCATTAATATCCCACACATATTTGAATATTTTTATGAATGCACAGTGAAATGATATAAAACAAAGTGAACCTTAAGGTTTCACCGTGTATAATGCAGACATAGGCGAATGATACAAAAAAGTATGCACAGGTAGTTCTACTTATTGTCTTAGTCCTTTCCTGTTGCTCTCTGTATTTGTCTTGCATACTATACTCTCTCCTATTATTTTCCCTCTTTCTTTGAGTTTCATTGCCACTTCATTCATGAAGGGGATAAATAAAAACAGATATTCTGTAGACATAAACCCTGAGAGGTGTTGAGAGCAAAACAAGCATACAGAATTGCAATAATTCAAGTAGTCTAGGAAGATATAAAATCGGGATAATAAACTCAACTTTTCACTAGATAATGCAAGTTTAAAAGCCGTATAATGGAAGAGGAATATCAAAGTTGAATATGTTACCCTGTACAAAATATGGAGCCATACCTGCAGAATCAAATGAAATTATTGAGAACTGACTTAACAATCAGACAGATGTGAACTTGTAAGAATACAGAGAGGTAGTGAATATCACAAGGTATAATAATTGTTTCAGGATATTAAAGGCATACAGTATATGGTTGATTTATGGCTAAAAATTCTAATTAAACATACAGATTTTGGTCTCCTTCAAAATATATTTCATACTACAGTACAGTACTTCTAAATAATGATGCATATAGAAAAAAAGAATTGATATTAGAAAATTCTCACATAAAGAAGATTAAAATATTGTTTGTCAATAAACGAGTACAGGTGAGAACCATTATGCTAAATGGGTTTGAAGAATGGTAATGATCTCGAGGAATATGGGGAAAATGGAGGATATCATTGGAGCTGCTAATACGTATTGTCAATACCCGTACACTACAAATTTTTGAACAGATATAAATGAATGTGTCAATGGTACAGTGGTGACAACAGTTGTAAATCTCCTTCGGAAAAGAAAACTATACTTTAGACAATAGAATACATGCACACTTAATATTAAATTTGTAAACAGAGGAGATCTAGTTGCATGAAGGGATATTTATAAATAGTAAATGTCTAAATGCCATTAAATGACTGACATTTCCTTTACAGATACCCTATGCTCCATGTTCTTGAATATGGCCAAATAGTATATCAGGAGTTAATCATGGGATTTTTCTTTAAAAAACATAATTTCCAATCATGTAAATGGAGTCAATAGGAAAATGTGTATCAATTTAAGAGAAATTGATTTATAAGAAGTTCTTCAGGGTCTGCCTGGGGATCCAGGCCCCCAGGACCTCCACACCTGGATCTGCCCTGTCAGTTCCATACACACACAATCTTACATACCGTACATTGTAAAAAAAAAAAAAAACCTATCATAAGGTCAAAAATATAAAGGGAATAGACAATTCTCTGAGTGTGAGAGCAGGAGGGAAAGTGCCCCAGCCAGACTGGGTTGTTGTGGCGAAGCTTGAGGGCGGCCACACAAGATGCAGCCAGTGTCTATGTAAATGGCAGCTATGTTAAACTTTTATTTAGCTTTTCCTTAATGGTTTTAGCTGCATATTTTTATCTGGAGAGCATTTCATTAATATTTTTAATGTGTTAGGAAGTAAATTAAAGTAGGTGTGTACTATTTATCATTAGTTAGGTAAATTTTTATTAATTTTTTGTTCAGAAACTGATTTCATATTTTTGGGGTAGTAATATCTCCATTAGCCAGAATCCTTCACCTGAAACTCTCTGATAGCTGGAACTTAAATTTTCTTGGAAAATCGTTCCCCAAACCAAAATTTTCTGGAAAATTACAGCTTTGAGAAGGATTTTCCGAGGGGCACATTTTCCAGAAAATTCCAAGAAAATTTTCTCGATACCCGGAAAATTCCAGGGATGAGGTAGTTTTTTCGGGGTTGAGATATGAAAATGAGGTGCATTTTCCAGAAATTCTGAGAAAAATTTTCCGTTACCCGGAAAATTCCGAGGATGATGGATATTTTTCCGGGTTCAAGACATGATGTAAAGGGCAATTTCTGGAGCTTCCGAGAAAATTTTTCCGTTGCCTGGAGAATTCCGGAGATGAGGGATTTTTTTCTGGCATTGAGAGAGTCGTCTCATTACCCGGAAATCTCTCATTCCCGTAAGTGCTTTGCACCAATTGTTCCAGCTAACGGAGATATACCTGTACCATATGATATTGGGGTTTCCTTTGTCTTTGGGGAACTGAACCCTATTTTTCCCAAATGTTCTTTTATTTGCAATATGAAAATTCACTTCAAAAATGGTTTTCCAGCAACCTGTCCTGGACGTACTTATGAACTAATTTAGATTAGCTAAACCGGATACCAAGCAGTCCCCTACTTATAAACATAATTGGTTCCGGAGGTCTGTTCGTAAGTCCAAATTCACCTCTATCGCTTGCTAACAATGTGTTTAATATGAAAAATACCTCAGGTACAGCACACGCACAACACAGTATTTCATCATATGATGTTGATTTTGGGCCTCCAACTACAAACACAAAAGTTTTTCCATCTCATCATGCAATTTTCCTCTTTTTGCACCTATGTTGGCCAATTTGCATAGGCACAGAACATCTCACAGGCTCCATAATTCTTACTTTATCCTTTCAAATCTTACCAAAGGTCAAAAGCGTCAGTCCGAAAACACGAGCCACATTTGTTATCTTATCGCCTCTTTCCACTTGCTTTATTATCACCACTTTTTTTCCACTGTAATCATGCATCTTTTCTTACTCGGACTATCATCACCAGCATTATTTTTAAATTTCTCAAACTTATTTGGGTTAATAATGTTTGTAAAAGCCACAAGAAATTAACCATCGCTGCCATAATGCTGCGAATGAGACAACAACTAAGATGGCTGCCGTTTGGCCGGGAATGCTGGGAGTAGCTCACTAATGCCATCTTTTGCATGTCAGTAGAACTAATAACTCTTTGTGCTTTCGCACCAAACAGAAATTTGGTCATACGGAGAGGTTTGTTCATATGTATGAAAGTTCATAAGTAGAGGAGATACTGTACTGTATTAGCAAGTTCATTCTGTAACCCCAATCAAATATTTATTGTTCACATCAAAATGAAGATAATCTAATGTCATCCAATCAAGCAATGGACCCCTAATGAGTTCTCTTTTACAGTACTCCAATATAAAACACAGAAAACTAAACAATACTGTAACTACTCATAGAAAATAATAGATTCAAGCATTACCTTGTGAAGAATATCACAATCAGCCTCCCAACCAACAATGTCAATAGGGCTTCCCATGACCATAAGCTTATATATTAAACTGGATAATCTCACCCAATGGACCAGAACCCCAGCTGGTTAACAAAACACTTGTCCAAAGGGATGAGCTGATTTACTTACATTGAGTCAAGGAGTTACCCTTGATCATGAGTGTAAAGGCAGTTGGTGCCATAAACAACCACAAGTGAACATGATAATTTGTATCAACACAACTGAAGCAACTCTTACAATCCAAATTAATGAGGGCTGGAATTCACTTTACTAAATACATAATGCAAAAACCTGTGTGCTAAGCTATACATAATCCCTAGTGCTAAATATAGGTTATAACCATGACTTAGTTCTGTTAGCAAAAAGAGTTGTCCAGAAAATGATCTGCTTCAAACAAGGAGATAGCTGGACATCCTGTATGGTCAAAAGACCTCTTAACCTTAACCCCTTCCCTATGGGGACGGTGCCACTTTTAATATTTTATTTGGCTAACACCAGATGACCTTATTCATTACAGAGGAGATCCCATACACCAGTGACTAAGTGATAAACTTCTGCATCCCAAACTTCTATCTAAAGACAAGGGATACAATGGGAGAGATGAACTAATAATTGATTAAACTGGTGTCAGCCATCAATGTCTTAGATTAGTCTGGGTTCAAACCCAAAGAATTGGTTCCTTGATGCAACATAAAGCTTTAGTAGAGAGTATGAAAGATTTGTAAAAAAACTGGATGTGTGGAATTGTCTTTTACTATCAACTGATTAGATGCTCGAACAAAAGCCAAGATTTTCAGAATAAGATTGAATACAAGTGTTAATATGATGGGTGTGAGGGTGAAAGTGGTACATGTAAGAATGAAGTACAGTACAACAAGAACTACAGTAAAAATATTGTGTACTGCATTTGTATATGCTTGTACTGTATTAATATGTGTGTGTGTGTGAACATGTATGTATGGGTGTGGACATGAATGTATGAATGCAGTATATGTTTGCACATACCATTGCAGTAATTTACAAATATTACAACACATCATAAAATAAAACATACCTGGAACAGGAGAAACGCATACCCCTTAGGAGGGAAATAAGATTTGCTTTCTGCCTTATGTGGCCAATCCACAACTAGGGGACCAAATCGACGGAAACTTGCTGTTATTTCCTCTGAAAGGTAAAAAAACTAATTAAGAAGAATTAATGTTTAATAAACTAAAACTCTCATTAACAAGTACAAAAGACAGATCTATTTCCCAGATCACTGCCACGGTAGAAGTTACCTACATACAGTAAGAGTGCATACTTTTCCCTGTTTTAATATACTGTATTGTACTGTACAATACAGAAAAATAAATACAGTATAAAGCTTTATGTATCTACGGGTGACGAGTGTGTGGAAGTCTGTAGTGGAGCACCCATTCATAAGGATGCTGCTGTATTGCTTTGGCGAATATCAAGGGCGATTGCAATGCAGTGTGTACACTAATTTGTATGATTTTTGCTCTTTTTATTCTTTCATTATTACTGTAGTACTATAGTACTTATATGCTTTTGTTATTGATGTCAATATGCAATTAATGTTACAGAGTACAGTGAAAGGTTCCTTTTGGGGTGAATCTAGTGATCTGAACAGTCTTCATAGGCAGTTACAAAGGGTTTACTGTACAATTTGCACATTTTATGTCTCTCTAAATTCTGGAGAAATAAAAACCTAACCAACAACCTTCAGGTCCCAAGCATGCCAAATAAATGTTCCCATACCTGTACATTACTGGGATGTGGTCTGACCCACAATCTGCCCCTGGATAGGTCTTGGTTCAGGTTAGTGAGTTTGTGAAACTTTTCTGAATTAAAACAACCTATTTGATTTTTGACAATGTTATTTACATTCTGGGGTGATCCATGTACTGTACATAGAGATTCCTATGGTGTTCAAACCATGTATTTGTAATTATCATCTTGTTCTCCTTAAAAAGGTCAATTAATATTTCTTCTCTCAATTACATTACCCAACCCATGTGATTCTACTTCTGGTGCTTCTTTCCTTTTCCCAACTTTTGCGTTAAAACCACCCATTATAATCAGACATTCATTAAACTTTGCGATGTCTATAGCTTTCTTTAAATCAGATAAAAATTTTCTAAACTTCATCCTTACTACAATATCATTTGCTGGTGTATAAATGTGTATTAGTACCAAGTCCATAGGTTTAGCATTAAACTTGACTAACAAAATTCTATCTGGCACTGCCCAATATCCCTTTACAATATTGCTCAACTTCTGGTATACAAGAATACCAGCACCTCCCTCATGCTTTTTATCTACTGAATATATGAAGTAGAAACCTTCACCACTAATGCTATTTGAATGTCCCACTGCATTGTTTTTATTTCCCTACAAACATTTGCATACTTACCAGCTTCATATAATGTCCTAACATTACATGTTCCTATTTTGATTTTGTGTTTGTTCATTCTTAAGCTTTCCATAATTGTGTCTAATATCCAAGGCTTTGTTTTACTCGGACAGTACTTTCTAGCCCTCAGTGGCACACTACCAGCATGCACGGAAGGCAATGTGGTTTGACCTTTAGGTGATGATGATCCATCAGGAACACCCAAAAATAATTTATTGTGTCTGTCCATGGTTGTTCATGGGCAAGAGATGAAGTTAATGAAAATGGATGCTCCCAAACCTTTTCTCATCAAAAGATCAATTAAAGGGAGTAGAAAAAGTTGGGAATGAATTATTGGGTGTAAAGGTTGTTCATACCTCACTCTGGTAAAGTAGCAGCCCATCACAATCAATTTCAAAATCAAACTGCTTTTACTGTAGTATTTGAAATGATAGCCAGGCACTAGTGAGTTGAAATATCAGAGAGCTTTTCAGTCTGGCGATCATGATTTTAGATCTCGTTACTGTTTATATTTTGCGCCGAGGACATTCAAATTTACCGCTCTGGGCAAGAGAGTATTCCTCCCTTGGGGTTGGCAAATAGGGGAAGACTTCTCGAGCTGTGATTGGCTCTTGATGACCAAGTCTGATTGGCCAAAGTATGAAGGTTTGCAGTTTCTCAGTCGTGGCAGAAGGGAGTTTGTTTACGGTCTTTCAGCTGAGAGTGAGTGTCTGATTTTCGAGTGATAGAATACTTATTAAACAGAAGTTTATAACTGATGACACTTGCTAATGATAATGTATATGTATTGAAGAGATTGTAATAGATATGTAAACTAAAAATCAATTACTGTACTGCCATAATTATGTATGTACACACATATACATAAAATATACATACAAGCATATATTTATACCTACATACAAATAGCCGGAGATAGGCCCTCTGGACTTAATTAGTCCCAGGCCCACAAGACCCTTAATCTGGCCCTGAATAAGCCCCGAAGACACTTAAGAGTTTACACTAAAAAACTAAGTTAGAGATATTGTAAAGTCTTGATACTTGTACCCTGCTAAAACACATAATACAGTTTGAACTGTGACGCCAGCTTATAGCAGCAGTACCCTTGTTAACCCACCTGAACAACCATCTTCTCTACTCAAAATGGCCTTGCCACTACCCAGGGAGGACCCTAACAACCCAACACCATCCTTTCCTCACACAACCATGTAGTTCTCCCTGGTCTATAGCTATTTGCCTAACAACAGTCTCTCCCCATGCAAAAACAAAAGAATATATCAGTGATATCTCCGTTAGCTGGAACAATTGGTGCAGAGCACTTCCGGAAACAAGAGATTTCCAGGTAATGAGACGACTCTCTCAAAGCCGGAAAAATTCCCTCATCCCCAAAATTTTCCGGAATTTCCAGGAACCGGGAAAAATTTCTCAGAAGTTCCAGAAAGTGCACATTACTGTACATCATCTCTCGAACCTGGAAAGAAATCACCCATACCTGGATTTTTTTTGGGTACCATAATTTTCTTTGAATTTTACAGAATGATGCATTATTTCATCTCTCAGAGCCAGAAAAATATCCCCCATCCCTGAAATTTTCCAGGTACCGGAAATTTTTTCTTGGAATTTCCGAAAAATTAGCTTGATTATAATTTCTCATACCCAGAAAAAACTCCCCCATCGCTGGTATTTTCTGGAATTTTCCAGGTCCAGGTACTGTACTCCTCTACTTACAAATTTTCAGAGAAACGAACATCATCACTGAAGGGGGTTACCTGCCAGAGCAGGTGTTAAATGTGGATGAGACAGGATTATATTTAAGAAAATTCCAGACAGAACATACACTGCCTAAGAGGAGAAGAGTGAGCCAGATTTTAAGGCTGTATTGTAGGGTATACAGGAGCTGTACTAAACATCCATTATTTTTTCATTTTTTACAATATGTTCGGTATCTACAGGAGTAAAGTTGGACTTACAAACAATTGGACTAACAAACAAGCCTTAAGAATGTAACTTGTTCATAAGTAGAGGAGCAATTGTACTGGGAAAATTTTCTCTGAATTTTCCGAGAAAATTTCAATTCCGACTATTGTATCGGATAGTTCTGGCTAAAATGGATTCCAGCTAACAGAGATATTATTGTAGTGGTAAAAATACTGCACGGTACTCATTTATAAAGTACAACATTACTGTTAAAATATGCATGAAAATACAATAAAGAAATATTGTCAAGAGGTGGGACTGTTGCTGCTTCTGGGAATCTAACAATCTTTTTACAATGGAAACCAATGTTTAATCATGCATGTTTTGCTTATCCTGGCCTTTTCTAGTTATGCAACCCTCAGCATAAATACCTTCCCCTTCTTAATCATATCACTTACCACACTCTGTATACTGGTATTTCCCATACCTTTAGTGCTTTACTGCCTATGTTGTACTGTCTTCTTCTCCATTGTATCTTTTCTGTTTTCTCATAATCACTAAACCTACTGCACCTACGCCTACTTCTCTCATATTATCCTTTCCTATCAATACTTTAATTAATGTTCTGCTCACCTTTCTCTTACCTCTTCATCATTCATTATCACCTTACCATCCAAATCTAAAGATGATACCTCCCTTGACACCTTGTTCACTGCTATATATCATTCATGCAAATAACTTACCATTGTTCCTTTAGTTTTCATTTATCCTCTTACCCAAATATTCGACTTTTGTTGGGGGTCAGCTTTACTATATCCTTTAAGACCCTATTCAACACTACATATAATGTAATCTTAATAACAAAATACACCTGTACACAAATCTAACTTCAAACATATTTCCAGGTATGGTAATGTTCAATCAATTCATAATTTTGCCAACTTAGTTGTCATTAATAAACAGCTTCAGTGTCTTCTTTCCCATCTATCCCCAGAGTACTTCAGGATTCAGAAGATTAAACTGAACTGGCAACCAACAATTTTCACTAGTAACTTGAAGCTAATTGCTGGCTCAATTAAAAGTATAACCCAATGAACTCCAAGAAGTCATAAAAGTTTGCACCCCATGATTTTTGTCTTATGTTCTACAGAGCTAATTTTTCATGTTCAAAATGTAACAGAGTACTGTATGCAATTTAAACCCCGTACTTAAAAGGATTCTTATCAGAAATAACCTCACTTACTTTAAAACAAAGTTATATGAAGAAGCAAGTTATTTTTTCTACAAACACTCTTCATCCTACATATTTTTACTATTGTCATTTATAGAGTTTAATCTATATATCCATTATTATACATGTACATTCCATTATTCACTTCCTCCCCTATACACTGTATATGGTATTTTTTCTCTTGTTTTTGTTATGAATGAAATACTGTACCAGTAAATCTGACAAATACTAGTAGCAAATATCTAAAGAAGGTTTCATCCACAAAAGTGGATGTTTCATGTATTTTGTGACATTAAGGATGGAGGGAGCATAGTAAATTACTTTTGTATCTTACAAGTACAAGGGCCTTACCTCTTAAATAAATACTAGACAAGCATATCTAAAATTTTACTAACCTTCATCTATATCAGGCGGGAGTCCACCGACAAAGACTTTACGAGAGAAGCGTTCTCCATTTTCAGAACCTTGAGAGCGTGGCGAGGACCGGGAGGGGGAAGGGAGGGGAATGGGGGCGCCCAGGTTATCCACCAGGTGGCCTTCATCAAGCAATACACCGCTTTCATCCATTCCCAGGAAGCCACCTTTACCTGCCAAAATGCATTAGTGTAGGTCACTGCTGATAACACAATAATCAATGTACAGTAAAATAATAAAATTTGTATGTGACATATCAACAATAATCCTGTTTTCAGACAGATCACAGCACAGTAGTAACAGCATTATAAATTAGTCCTGACTTATGAATTACATTAATTCCTTAACTTCTTCAAAAGCATTGCAGATATACACAAAAAAGTGTACTGTTGAGACAACTAGTGGTTTTAGATCAAGAAACATATCCATCGGCAGCACTTTGTGTTGCATTGTAATCTGGGCAATAAAGGAGAAAAATTATGTAAGCTGATAAAGTCTTAAATATGCACATATTTTTTTTAGCAGTTGTAAGACTTTCCATGTACAGAGAGAAAAAAAAACAGCTTAACACAAATCTCAACAAAATATTTTAAAAGTTTCACATTTATGTTAATGCAAATTTTTCAAATAAGACCCTGTTTTGGAGAGAGAAACTAGCATGAAAATAATATACAGTACTGTAGTATAAATACCCAGGGAAGTCTCTTCTGTTGTGAGTAAAAGATTGAGGCTACAAAGAACATACAAGTATTGTACTGTACAGGATATACGGTATATAAAGAATACCAGTTGGTAAAGAGCAGTTCTGCAAGTGAGGTAACACAAGACAGTTCAGTTCTTTCTTTTATTACATCTTCTCTGGAGCTGTGTCCACATACCTAAGCATGCATGTTCTCTGTTGCCTCACTCTTATACACAATACCGTATACAGCTGAAGATGATGTCAGTGCACACCTGAAGTACATGTTTTAACACACAGTGATCCTTCACCAATATTGACTTCACATGAACTGAATTTGGACACATTAGTTTACTTTTACCATCTATATTTCCTTTACACTAAGCTAAGATTTGTATGTACGTATGTGGCCGTGAATTGCACTTTCAACTTTCTCATTTGGAATAGATCATGGAAAACATCTTGCATGCCATATATACTCCACAAGAACACCACTAGAACGCTCATGAATCTTGGTGTGTGAAACTGTCTGTTCTATAACACTCAAAGTCTTGATATAATTTGCCAATAATAATGGAACCCTCCAAAACATACTTAATATCTCCATCAAGTAAAGAACCCCTCGTGAGGAAGCCTAAAAAGATACAGTATTAACTCTAGAAACCATGATGGGGATAGTAAAAAGTTTTGAAAACAGTGAAACAGCCTCAGCATTTGGAAGGGCACACCTCATAAATGATTCAAGCATACGTACTGGCAAGAAGAATCCAACCCAAATTATTGGTGTCATTAACCTTTTCAGTGATCCAAGCCAGGATTGAGATAAAAACTCAAAACACTCTTCTTACATAGGAATGAACTTCAAAATAAGGCAACAGGTAGGAAAATAAATAGGGATGATCATCCCCCACAGATAACCCTTGAGGAATAATCATATGGATAGTTTTAGATTATTTTTTACATAGCAAGTGTTTAGCTACAGCCAGAAGTGAGTAAGAAGTATCATAAAGTCTTTTAGATTCTTTTTATAATCCCCAAAATCTGTTATCTGGGCGTGTCACCCAAAATTTTCATGTAATCGCCATGAAATGGTCAAGTGTTAAAGTTTGAAAATTTAATACGTACAGTACTACGTAGAAAAATTGTCATGTGATATTTTTAGCTGTGAGTGGGCAAAACCCCTTTTAGTTTGGAAACCTATCCTCATTTAAATCGAATTCACCTCTTCTATAAACACAATCATCAGTATAAATGAAGGATGCTGTATGCTTCCGTCTTATTGTGGGTCAAATTTTCAAGGGAATACAGGTACTGTATGTGCAGAAGATATAATAAGAAATTCAGGTGGTGTCATACACAGTATAATACAGTACAGTGGTCCCTCGGTTAACGAACGCAATTCATTCCACAGAGTCGTTCGTTAACGAAAAATTTTGTTAACCGAATCTATTATTTCAATGGGATATTGGGTAATTGGTTCCAACTCACAGAAAAAGTACATACAAAGTACTGTATACCAGTAATAGAATTAACAAAACATTAAATGTAAACTAAATACTGTACAGTATACCGAACAATAATAAATAAAAAAAATAGAATACTGCATTTTAACGTACTTTGAGGTGTGTATGTCTATTACCGGCAGCTTTGTTTACATATCAAACAGCTGATTGTAGAGGCAGTCGATGATGACATGCCATATTCTTTACAGAGTGCATTGGTTCTAATGCCTTCTTCATGTTTCATAATAATTTCTGCACTGTATATTATCAATATGTTAACTAAATTTCAGAATGACCAATAATTTTAATGTAAAGATGCAAAAATATTCAGGAGACCAACAAAATCGATGTTCACTCCACTGTAAACAAAGTTAAACTGAGAAGCGTTGTTGGGCGATTCAATCAGCTGATGGGTGCACAAAAACTGTTCCCTGTACTGTATATATTATTAATATGTTAACTAAATTTCAGAATGACCAATACAATAATTTTAATATGAAAAATGCAGAAATATTCAAAAGACCAACTTTCTTGATATTTACTTCACTGGAAACGAATGTAAACATAGAACCCATTACTGTATTGGCGGATTAGCCGATCAGCTGATGCGCACAACAAAACCTGTTTCTCATTAGGATTTCGTTAATTGAAGTTTTGTTCGTTAATCGAACAGAAAATCCTTATGGGAGCTTGTTCGTTAATCGAACTGAAAATCCTCATGGGAGCTAATTCGTTAACAGAAATTTCGTTAATCAAACCGTTCGTTAACCGAGGAACCACTATACCGTAGTTACTAACAAGTGTCTCACACAGTGTCCTATGTATGCAGGCACAGTCAATTCCAAACTGTGTATTAATCAAGCATTATAATCTATTTTTATACCAGCACCTTATTTTTTAGATACTCTACAATATACAGTATATTATAAAACAATAAAAAATAAAACTTCTGGGTTGCATTTCAATGGCAGTGATTCAACTGGCATGTATTACATATTATAATGTATTACATTTTTGTCTGAAATATACACTTGGCAAAAATTATATCACAAACTGTTGATGAATGAGTTTCACAGAAGTGCAAAAATTATGTACGACAATTACAGAAGTCTTCTAAACAGTGTACAGAAATTACAATTTCATTTACTTTTATGTGAAGGTCTCAAAAACTGATCATGTGGATTATAAGAGCAAGAGTTCACACATTACAGAAAACCTAGATACAGTTGCTACAGTACACAGATTTAAGGATTCTTTAATAAGACAATTTAGGTGTCAAAGTACAGTGCAGTACTATACCTGTATGTGTAAAGTGTGTTTACAATCTGATATTGGTGTTTGGGCAGTGAATACAATAGCCAAGAATTGAACTTAGAAAAATCAGATTATTATAATGTGTCATATTTAGCTCTATACAGTACTGTACTGAAAACTATACAAGGGTATTACCACATTCATGGTTCTGCTGAGTTACACTACAATATTATTTTCATTGAAGAAATGAAAAAATAATCAATTGTTATTGCTCAATTTATTCTGTATTTAAGTGCCTTACCAGCATACTTTATGCACCTTACTTATAATCTTCATAAAATCATGAAACTGAGATAGATAGGGGAAATGGATTAGTACCTAACCACTGACAAGTACTGTACTCAACATGTTCACCTTTGCTGTAAAATATACCAAATCTCAAAACTGTAAAATTTATACACATGTAAAACAAATATTTAACTGGGCTTAATAAGTGTGTGTGTGGGGGGGGGGGAGAGGCCAAAATAAAAACCTACATTCATTAAGTCACAGTTTTTCAAAATGTGAAAGGCTGCAAATTGTCAACATGTTTTGATTGCTTGCATAGTTATTTTGATCTTGAATTACATTATGCAAATACTGTACAGGTAATACCAATGGAAGAATTCAATCTTTAATATGGGAGAGCAAATAAGGGATCACAGTGACCACTAAAAGAAACCATAGTTTATTCTACAAATTATCTGGACATTATGAGGAACACTAATTGATGGACCCTCAGCTAGGACTTGGTGCCCAGAATAGTCCAACTCTGATACATTTATAATACAGTAGTATCTGGAGTGTATATGCTCCTTACATTACATGTATGTACAGTATACTGTATTAAGGATTATATTGGCTTGTTCTGGTAGCCACAAACCGCACACACTAACACTCAACCATCCCTAAGATTAAGATCTTTGGGGTGGTTGAGTACTAATTAGTAACATAACAAAAATCCATTATCTTCCCTGTCAAAATGTTAACTAAGATGGTCTACCCAGGTGAGATGAGCATTAACATGAGGATCAACTTTAGCCTTATGCAAGACAACTTGAAAATTAAATTATAAACCTCATAGCATCGACTTATCTATATGATGTTTAATTTTTATGCACTATGTGATACAGTATCAAGATACCCAGTACCATATCTAAGATTATATTACAAGTACAAATTATTATTTTAGGATACATTTCCCGACAAAATAAAAGAGGTCCATTAATAGTTGAGAATTTCATAATAAAGTACTGTACACTATTTTTGTTGGGAGGTTAGCCAACCACAATGCTGGAGCTAGGTTTCCCCATCAGTTATGTCAATAAGGGTGGTGATGAGCTTCAATATTCTGTCATCAATGGCCTGCTTTATCATGCTACCACATGAGGAGTAATTTTCCCCATTATCCAAATTAGTAATTCCTCTCTATGGACTTAAAGACTTCCCTTTGCAGTCATATGATTAGATGGGCACAAAGCAAAGGAAATTCTCTAAAAATCTATTATCAAATACTATACTGTACAGTATATATAGTTTTACTTTATTTCACTTATCAAAAATAGCCCAAAGGTCACTAAAAATAAAAAAAAATATTAAAATTCATACAATATTTAGTCTCTTTGTATCTTAATGCAGTATTTTTATTAATGCTGGTAATACAACAGGATACTGTACTGATGATAAAACCAGA